TGCAGAAGACCTTCTTGGCAAGCGTCGCCAAATCCCAGGCTCTAGGTGCTAGGGAAGATCTTGTTATTTTTATTTACAAAGCTCATATTCACAAAATTATGAAATATTGACTATCTTGAATGTTGGGCATCGATTAACAAATTCCCTGGAGAGACAGAACTTTACTAATGTGTCTTCCAGAGATCAAACCTTAAGAAATTATATGAAGCAGATCTGCTAGGTTTTGCAGCCCCATGTCAAAATAACCTCAGTGCCACATTTTTAAACAGGAGAGGCTTGATAAATGTCTTTCATTAATCGGTGGGAACGTCATAGCCCGAAATGAGAAAAGGAAAACATGGCTTTCAACAGGTGCTTACAAGCCATGGCAATTATTACATATGTCAAGGAGAGCTTAGGATTTACTTTTCCAATGGTTTTGTTAGTAACCCGTGACTTGTGAGCTCTGATTTTCCTATTGTGCTAATATAGGTGGGATTCATTTTAGGTGGAGTTTGGCTCTAGTACAAAGTCGTCTTTGAGGATCTCCTTGACTTGGGCTTGTTTATTCACACTCAAGTTTTGATTAACGGGAGAGCAATTTTAAATGATAGTGAGAACAAGATTGCAGAAGGCCTTTGAAAACATCCCTATGTCATCTGCCTTAAAAACCAATGAATTGCAAGTAAGCCACATTCTCACACTCCTCTTCATGTTGGTGCGAAGAAGGGGCAGAAAAGGGAAAGTGTCAGAAGTAACATCAGGGGCTGTTGGCATCATACACTTGAGCTGAGGAAACAGTGAGGGAAGAGGGTGTGACTAACCGACTCCATGGCAGAGATGAGAGCTTCCTGATGGTTTTACAAGACATTGTGTTTTATTCGCTCCGTTCCATACACAAACACAATATTAGGGACAAGAAAGGAGGTTCCAGAATAAGCCAAATGTAAGGCTTATCAGGACCGCTGGTAACACAAGTGTGTGACATTGCAGGGTAAGAGGTGACAGGCTGCTGAAGTCTGCTGCTGAGCTGGGGTGGAATTGCCACTACTCAGAGACATTCAAAGCCAACTAAACATAAAAGGAAAAAAGTGTTTGCGCCAAGTCAAACATCTGGAGCGTGCATTTGCTTCTTGAGCTATCAATCTGTGCTCCTTGAAATTAATCTTTGCCTGGGAAAACAGGGAATTGGAACTTTAAAAAGTTTATAATAGAAAATCATATCAAAAGGCAGGGAAGAGATGCAAGAAGGACTTCAAAAAGATCGTGCATCATCGCATAGTGTCTCTGGCTTCTACTTCAACATATTGAACATTTCAAAGCTTTCCCTAGACAGATTATCTTGGACAACTAAATTTTTTCTTTTCTCCTAATATTGCATGAAGTCCTATATATTTATTTGTTAAATCTAGCAAATTTACTTGAAGGGCCCTTCCAGAGAGAATATTCACCTTTCATCATCCTCAATTTAATGAACATTTGTAAAATGGGTTGGTTTTTGTTTTGTTTTAATGCAGAAAGTACATGGAAACCCTTATGGTTGGTCCACTGTGTTACATTTTGGGTTTTTTGTTTTTTGGAAAAGACATTTACTGCCCCTTTGAAGAGCCCATTAGCAATTATTAAAATGTTAGTGATAGTTCCTTGGAGTTATACCAGCAGAGAGATCTTCCAAAGAAGGCTTTATAAATGGAAGCTAAATCTGTGTGCTTTTCAGAGTGGAGAGCGGCAGGGTTGGTGCGAAGGTATCTGTTGATGTCATTGACACAAGCAAGAAAAAAAAATGTACTTCCATTTCTGAGATCCCTTTAGCCTCCAAATTTCATGATGACCACTCCAGCTTCCAAGAGCCCCCCCCCAATAACTAAATAATCCAAACAACCATCCTCCCTTGCTTTTTTTTTTTTTTTAAGGTTTCGTGAATGCTTTGTCCAGGGGCCAAGGGAACTCAGACTGCGTCCTCGGTTTTCTGTTTTGTAATGTTTTAGTCTTTATGCTGGACCCCGTCTTTCTCGCTCTGAGTTCTGTATGTGTGGAGTAGACACATCAACCTAGAATGAGACCGCCAGCCTTCCCGCATTGACCTTCACCTTTTGGGCAGCTTCTTTGAGGGAAGTGCCTTTGCCTTTGGCTTTGAGATCTTAATGTGATGAGATTATCTGGTTCTTTTTTTTTCAGACTCTTCTCCATCTTCACCACCCTGTGTCCATAATAGTTGTGTTGTTCAGTTCTGTTAATTAGCCAGCTTATCTCTGTAGCAGGAGAGAGGCTCAGAGCCAAGCAGTTAATCCTGACACAGGATCCATGTTTCAGTGACAACTCAGACAGTCTGTGATACTTTGATTGCTAGCGGGAAGCCAACATTTTGAAATAGAACCAAGTAGACCTCACAAAGAAGTATCTAATTCACCAAAAATGATGATCATCATCCTAATACTAGAGCACGTAAGCAGAAGGCCTTTTCTCACATTGACGAAGATCAAGTTTACCAAACATCTGCTCTACGGATGTGACGGGGCTGAGGACCATGTGCACTGGGGGCTCGGTGCCGACAGCTTGAATTACTGAGTGAGCTGTAGGGTGCTTCAGTATCTTCTCATGTTATTTCAGATCTGGAAATAATAGCTATGTGGCCTTGCCCCAGATGCCTGGAGTCACCGTGACTCCCTTGGAAGGCCTGCATGATGTCGAAGCCTTGATAATTCTAAGAAATGAAATTCAACCAGACATAGAGAAGAAGCAAAAGTCTATGTGTCCGTGGTTTTAATATGATATTTTATTTTTCTACAGCAAGAAAAGCCCAGGCTGATCGAGCCTTTGGATTATGAAACTGTCATTGAAGAACTTGAAAAGACCTATCAGAATCATGCCCTCCGAGACCTCCTGTTCTTCCCCAGTGACGACTTCTCAGTAAGTGTTGTCTTCTCAAGCCATCTGAGTTCAGGGGGGCCCCACAGGATGATCTTCCTGAATTGGGTTGCTGTCTTTGGGGAGCTCAGCCCTCTGCCTGTGGTCACCTACATCACTATCCACATCCAGCAATAGAAAGTGCCCAAGGGTCTTCTAGAGGTGGAAGATTGGCAGCTAAGTGACACAGTGGCCACTGGGGATGGGACGGCCATGGGATGCTGCCTGGTCCCACGTGGTACTTGTGTCCCTGCCAATATCTTTACCTGGCCTCACAGAGCACTTCCTCCCTCAGGCCATTTCTAACTGAAAGCTTCTAAGCAACTGAAACCAACCGATGGCAGAGGTGGGAAACTCTTGGCACCAAAGGTGCAATTCTCAGAAATCACCCTTAATCTTGTCCTTTAATACAGCCATGTTGAGCCTTGTGGGCAAAGAAAGGCAGGCAAACACATCTTCGTGGGAGGGCTTGTGACCTGAGATATACCCACTTTAGGTCGAGGCTCACTGGCACACAGATGCTCCTGAGGGTAGTCAAGGGAATGAGTAAAAAGGAATTCGTTTTGGAGACAAACTCAGTAAAGTCATGGATGGTGAGCACCGTGTGTCCCAAACATTCCATCTGTGGTCATATGAAACGTGTTCAAATTGTTAGTGAATATCTACATAAACAGAGATCTCAGTGGGCAGCTGGTAATCTTTCCTTTTTTGTTTTCTTTTCTAAAAGAATGGTAGTCTCAGACATCACAAACATGAGCATCTTAAAGCAGGTGAAAAGGCAGCTCCAAGGTAGCCACTGGAACATGAAATAACCGTTGTCTGTGGAAACCTCTGTTGAGCTGCTGGGGCCTCAGGACTTTCAGTTCCTGAAACAGCCTCAAACTTCCATTCCCTCTCTTATTTGGGGGCACATCTGGCTTCTGGCTTCTAAAGGTTCATTTGTTTCACCTTTCTCCCTGGATTAATAAAAAAGAAGGTATATGGAAGTCAACAATTTTTCTGTTCCAAGTACAAAGAATGATGGAAGGAAGGAGACAGATTTGTAAGTAGGAGAAAAGAAACTCTTCCAATCTGCTTCTCAGATTTTTAAGTGGCTCTCACTTTAGCATCTGACACACTCTAAGAGAGAAGTATCTCAGGCAGAAACCTCATTTCCTTGGTTGGACCAAGCCACTGGGGTTGAACTGCAAGCACAAAGTTGAACTACGTTTTATTTTTTTTAATTCCACATCCTCATTTTCCTTCAGACCAAAGGGTATACCTTGACCAACAGCCTCTTTCTGTCGAACAACACCAAAAAATTGGCACCTTTTCTTCTAGGTCTATTGTTCAGAAATATGTCAAAAGCCACTCCAAGTTCTCCCAGCCCAGGAAGAGAGTGGAGGCATGTAGATGGAATATAACGCTTGCACTGAATTTGAATTCAGTTTTTGGCATCTTGTCACACTTGTGTAAGTTAAGGATGCTCTGATTACTCTATGTCCTTTGCTTTCCTTAATAGTATAAGTAGAGCATATAATAATATACTTCCTTATTTTCCTGATGCAATATTCCAGTAAATACCCTGAATCCTTTTATCTTGTGCTTACTTAAAACCTTTCGGTGGTCACCCCACGTTGCCTTCAAAATGATCAGCGAACACTGCGGCACTCCCTAAGGGCTTCTCCAAGGTCTGATCCTTGCCTGTCTCTCAAGGCCATGGTCTTCCTCCCCCACCCCACCTCCCACTCTATCATACACAGTCACCCTCATTCCCAACTGGGGTAAAATACTAGCACAATTCTGAACATAACATTCTGTCACCCCTCAGACTGTGTCCTTCCTTTATTCACTCAACAAACATCTAAGGCATTACACCAAATATTCAGTATTAATCTCAGAATGAAGAAACAACAGTGATTAGAAACTACCTTGTTTTAGGAAAGCTTAACTTTTGGTAGGAGGAATCAGGCAAAAAAAATTAATTATTTAACAAGATAATTCAAATGAAGAACAGTTCCTATGAGGAATGATCAGGGCCGTGTAATAGAAATAACGAGGGGAAGAACTGAGGTAGACTAGATGGTCAAGGAGCGCACCTCTGCTGAGCTGACATGGGAGCTGAGCTCTGAATTTCCACAGAGAACCAACCATGCTAAAGCCTGTGGGAGGAGGGAGGGTTTTAGGCTGCAGGGAGCTGTCACCAAGGCCCTGGAGAGCTCTGAGATTGAGGAGCGGTGTCAGAGGAACAGAGAGAGTGGTTGGAGTTGAGATCAGGCAAGGACAAGATAAGGCATTTGCATCTTATTTGAAAGGCCAGTAGCAAGTCACTGGAGTACGTCAAGAAGGGGAAGAAATGACCTGGGGTACTTTACCAAAAGCTCATCTGGCCTCTGCATGGAGAACCCATCACAGAGTGTAGAGGAAGCTGGGAGACCAGCAGGGTGCATAACTCCCAATTAACAGGAGCTCAAGAGTATTTGACACCACCTTATTACCAGAAAATACTGTATTAGACAAAATGCTAAATTTTCATTTGCATCAAGCAATGTTTTGACAAAAAGATTGAATATTATTACCACATCAGGTTGCTAGCTTTTGAACAAAGTTCAGATGGTTTGTTTTTCCTCTTTCCTGCTCTACAGAGTCAGGGTTGACAAACTATAGCTCATGGTTGACCTGCTGCCTGATTCTGTACAACCCATGAACTAAGAATGGTTTTTATGTGTGTGTATGTGTGTTTTAATATGACCCTGTTTTATTTTCTTCATAGAACTGGTTAAATGTTTGAAGAAAAACATTATACCCATGAAAATTATATGAAATGCAGATTTTGGCATCCATGAGTAAAATTTTATTTGAACCCAGTGACACCCATCCATTCACCTGCCGTCAATGGTTGTTTTCATGATGCAGTTGCAGAGTTACAACAGGGGTGTAGTAATTGCAGCAGAAAAATCTTTTAAGGTTTTCTGTCTGACACTTTACAGAAGAAGTTTGGGGGCTCCTGCTACATGGTCCAACAACTTTCAGTTTTGTTTTTTTTTCCTTTCCCTCTGTGTGGGGTAAAGCCCTTCCTTCAATGCCCTCTGCCACTGTCTGCTCCATCCTCAGCCTGCATCACATTTCAGGGGTCTTGCTCACCAGCAGCCAGGCTGCTGTTCACCTGGCTAGTGTATCATTTCCCAGGTTCATCCTTGAGTGACAGGCAGGGATTCTCTGGGATGTGTGTGCATGATCTCCACTCATCTGATGGGAAGTGGTGATGGACCGACCACTCCCATCCCAAGACATCTCAGGATGGAAGCAGGGGGAGCAGCCCCATCTCCCCACCCTCCCTCCAGATGCCCTTAGTCCAGCTGTGCCCTACGGATTGAAGAATTCAGCTCACTTCTGTGTTTCCAAGTTACCAAGCACCCACACTTGCCTCCGACATGATTCATTCCTTGGTTTGTTTAATCAATATTTATTCAGCACCCACGAGGTGCTGAATATAGAACAGCACTTCCCAGACAAGTGAGACTGACAAGAAAAGCAGAAGCCCTGTGTTTAAGGAGTGTGTGCCCTAATATGGATGAAAATTTAAGTTGATTTAAGGATGCTTAGGGTTAAGAAATAACAAGAAACAGGGGCTTCCTCTGGTCCTTGATACCCCTTAGAGGAGGTCATTCTTTTTGCCAAGGCAGCATTCCATTTATGCTGCTGGCCCAAGCCCTCATCATCCTTTTTCACCTGGATCCCCAGAAGTGGCCTTTAACCAGTCTTCCTCCCTCCTTCTTTGCCTTGCTTTGATTTATTCAGAGGACGCTCTTAGAGATACAGATCAGATCATGCCATGCCTCTAGTTCAAACTTTCCAGTGGTTTCCCTTTGCCTTTAGAGTCAAAGCCAGCTCCTCACCTGACTGCTGATGATCTCTGCGCCCTTACCTCTTGGCCCTGTGTCCCTTGGTCACTACCCGGATACCCAGCATTCCTTGTGTTCTCTGAGCTTCCCAAGCCCGCCCCTCTGTAGGGCCCTGCACAGCTGGTCCCTGTCTTTCATTCACGATTCAGTTCAGATGCTGCCTCTTCCAAGAAGCGTCCCTGACATCCAGCCTCCATTACCCCACTCCCACCCTGTGTGACTCTGTCACATGCCCTTATCGGCTTCTCTTTAGAACACTCATCACTACCTAGAAAGGTCTCGGTTTGCTTTTTCACTCCTGTCACTTGTTTCTCACCATCAGAGAGCCTCCTGCAGGGTGGGGATGTCCCTGTCTTGATCATTGCAAGATCCCCAGCATCTAGAACCGCACTTGGCACCAAGTAGGTGGGAAATGAGTATTTATTCCATGAGTTGTCCTTCAGACACATGTGGGTTGCTATTTTAGAATATAACTTTGAAGGGGAGGGTATAGCTCAGTGGTAGAGCACGTGCTTAGTATGCACGAGGTCCTGGGTTCAATCCCCAGTACCGCCATTAAAAAAAAAAATCAAAAAAACAAACAGTGCAACATGTGGAATGGTAGAATGTAACTGTTGAGCACCTTTAGAAGCCAAAAGGACCATTCTGAAATGACATTTGAGAATAAAGAGAATGAAGTCATTAGCTTTGCTTAGTGGTCATCAATATGGTGCTTTCGTCTTTGACACAGCTTCACACATCACCTGAAAACAAACAGCCCTAGGACCATGATTCCCTTCCCCAGAGGCTCATTCCACCTGGCACAGTACTTGGCACAGAGCTGCTGTCAGCAGAGGCTAACTTCCTCCCCGTAACACAGCATACTTATTCCTTCACTTTCTGTTACTAGACAAGGGAGAAATCAGTTCATATCTGCATTTTTAAGTACCCAACACAACTTCTAACTCATGGGCATCCAGGAAAGATTGTTGAACATTGAATTAAAATTGTCTTCTTCCAGGTTAAGAAAACAAAGTAGAAGCATTTTCCTTTATCTTAAGACACTGGGTAGAAACCCTTCCTCTGGTGTGTGGGTTCTGGGAGCAGGCAGTCCAATCTTCTGTACCACTTGCTCATAAT